AAAAAAAAAGAGCAACTAGTTATGCTTCGAACGCTTTCAAAAACTGGCAGCTTGGTAGCAAAACAGCTTCGATTACTAGGTTCAGAGAGTGCATTCAAAAAACAAGAAGACAGACACAACTAGAAAGAGTGACTAACGTGACAAGCTATATTAGGTAAGGATATGGTAATACTTCGAGTTAGGAAAATTACGTATGACAATGTAAAACTCAGCACTTAAGGGAAAAAGTTGAGGAATAGTATGAACAACTCACTATCCTCATCGCTTTCATTTTCCTGTTCGGTTTTTTCATTCTCGTTATTCTCCATCTCAGCCTCTTCTAGTTCATCGTATTCGGCTTGCAGCTCCTCCTACAAATCAGGTTTGAGCTAAATTGTAGCGAACATGTTTCCGCCACCGAACCAAACAGAGCCACCCCACAACGAGAATCACCTCTGTTTTTTCGTTGCCGTACGTTGAGGAATCATATCCCATATGTACCTGTTGAGAGTTGCTACATGTATAGCCACAAAAATCTCTCTACTTCTGTTTGTCGGAGCCAGAAAGGAAGGAAGTGAAAGGAAAAAGTAGAACGACACTTACTTCGGTTAGCAGATCCAACTCGTCCACGATTTCCTCCTCTTCCAAAAAGTCATTGTTGATGTTGGGAGCGGCATTGTTGTTAGAGTTCCATGACATCTGAGCTGCTCCCTCTGGAAGAACCGTTGCTAAAATATTCTAATGGTATTTTGAAACAAAAAAATGTGATAGAAAAGTAATAATATTAGTGAATTATAACAAAACATCATACATTCCACATACACCCACCTCCATCCTCATCTGTAGGAGAGTTCGACTCGTTCTCAGCGGCATCATCTGGGCCATTGGCGGTTCCATCCTCGTCTCGTCGCTTCCTGCGTCCTACAAACATTTAGTGATAAAACTCAAAGTAAAACCATAAAATTAGTTCTCACTTTCGCATTCGTAAGAGCCCTGAACTCGCTTCCGACGATTCACTTCCTGTGCTTTTATACCCTCTTCAATCGAATTTCTAAGTGCATCCATATTTGTCTGAGCTGCAAACTTCTCTGATGCATCTTTCTGCAAGTCCTCATAGGTTTTCCGATCAGGCCAAATCTGAAAATAAACGTGTAAGTAAGAATTTCAAGTGTTTACCATCAAGTACCGTTGTCAGAGTTTGGAAAGAGGAATAACTGTTTAGACAAGAAGTGAAGCCTGGGTCATTGAGAATTAGCTGATGTTTCTTTTGGAAAGAAAGTAGATAATCGTCATAACCCAGCTTAGAATGAATAAAAAGACCGCGTAGATATTTGGAAAGAACCTTTTTACCCCAAAATCTTACAGATACGTCCTTTTTTTGACAAGAAAAACCGATGAAAATGAACCCCGCGCCGACAAGAGTCTTGCAGATCCTTTCATCAGATAAGTCCGTCTGCAGATAAGACCGAATCATCAGACGGACTTAACTGACGAGATTTCAGGGTAGTTATAATGAAAAGAAAACGGACTTATCTGTTTGCGGACTTATCTAATGGGAGGACTTATCTGTGAGATTTTA